TCTCGCAAAGAGCATGTCATAAATTTTGTTTCTGCATTCGTCATTATGAAAGATTCTTAACGCCAACCGCTCTTACTATCTCTGCCGCTCCCAGCCACCATTCCTGACTGACATGGCTCTTCGAGTTTATGATCGCATCAAAGCGGACCCGAGCGCCAAGGATTTCCTTCGCACGGCCATTTTGTCCGCTATCAAAGAATACTATTCAGTGTGGATGGTGGAGCCAAGATATGACCCCATTACGGGCTTGTCCAGGTACCGGCCAACTGGGCTTGGAGTGCCACCTGAAACCGAATCCTCTCATTTCTATCATCTATTAATGCCGCATGCTAAAAAATTGGGAATCTCTTTCGAGGAATTCGTCCAGGGCTACAACAACGGACAGATCAAGGATCCTGAGCTAGATGACTATTTCCTCCATGACCGTGCTGTAAGGGAATCCGGGCACGACACCAGCTACCGCCTTGAGAAGGTCTGCGCGAACCTTGCCACGGTTGATCTGAATTCTCTCCTTTATAAATATGAAGTCGACATCGCCAGGACGATACGGGATTTCTTCGGAGATAAACTTTCCATCCCGACCGAGTTTAGGACCCCGCAAAATGCCGAACATGGATTCGAGTCATCGGCGGTGTGGGATCGCCGGGCTAGACGTAGGAAGGCGGCGATGGACAAGTATTTGTGGGATGAAGGAAAGGGGACGTATTTTGACTACAACACAGTGGAGCAAGAGAGAACGGACTATGAGAGTGCCACCACGTTTTGGACTATGTGGGCTGGAGTGGCGAGTCCCTATCAGGCTTCAAGGCTAGTCAATGAAGCGCTTCCTAAATTCGAGGCATACGGTGGGCTGGTCTCAGGGACTGAGAAGTCTAGAGGCCCCATCGGGCTCGACAGACCCAACCGACAGTGGGACTATCCGTACGGGTGGGCGCCTCAGCAGATGTTGGCCTGGTCAGGGCTGATTCGCTATGGATACCAAGATGAAGCGGAGAGACTCGCATACAAATGGCTCTATATGATCATCAAAGCGTTTGTAGATTTCAATGGTGCTGTTGTGGAAAAGTATGATGTGACACGGCCCATTGATCCCCATAAGGTGGAAGCTGAGTATGGGAATCAAGGCGGGGATTTTAAAGGCGTGTCTCGAGAAGGGTGAGTGATGGACAACCCGTATTGCCTTTTCAAGCTCTCTTTCCCTTTTTCACGCAGATTTTATAATTTGCTAACGAGTTGTGCTGCTGCTCTTCGTCAGATTTGGCTGGGTAAATGCAAGTTTCGTCTACGGTCTTGAGTTCCTCAACGCCCATATGAGACGCGCACTGGGCGCTTGCACTCCTTATGAGACTTTCAGCAAAGCTACAGCGGTGCAATATTAGCCACGTGGGTTAATTTTGTAATCATTCGACTTTTTTTAAGCTAGATGCACCACCATTTTTGGAAAAATTTCTTGCGACCTGAGTGACCACTCCCAAGATTACATACATGGTAAACCATGTTAATGGGTACATATATAACTATCCTTTTGGAAATTGCTATTATTCAGCATACACTTTCATCCTTTCTCCAATCATGTACTTTACTAAATTAATTGCGTTGTTAAGATACCGTTGATGTCCCGCAACTCAATAGCTATCAAAAATTCGAGATTGATATCCGTGCATATTTTATTCGAGACTCTACCTTGAGTTTTAATATTAATAGCCTGTTGTCTTTCTCGCGGTGTTTAGGATTGCCGATTACCTCTTGGGTAATAGTACCATAAAATATACGCGGGTCTATCAATGTGGGATCTAAATGCCGCTTCTTGCCTAATTATGTCTTTTGCTCTTTGCGGATTAGCTGCTATGTTTTCCTATTTGGATAGGAGCAGGCAGGACCCGTGAGCGAACGACATGGAAGGCCATCACATTGCATACAAGTAGCGAATTATCTCAAACCATTGATCGTAGCGTGCCGTAGGATATATGGGGGGAGCTTCTACGCCCATCAGCTCACGTATCAGAGGACGATTCTCATAATCATCCATGAACGTGATAATTATACGTCGTACGGCACCAGAGCGAAGATCACCAAGCGGAACGTGCACAAGACATCGGCGACCTTAATTCAGCAACATCGACTGCGATGGACAGAGCCAGCGAGCTTGTGTCAATGGTCCGCGTACGCGATATCCTTTCAGGGGTTCATTCGATGCTGGATAGACGACGCGGTTGAGAGACGAAAGGCGGGGGAGAGAAGGGGCGTTCAACACAACTTTGAACTTCCCGACCATTTCGCATCTGGTGAGAGCCAACGGAGAAGTTGAGGGTTCGGTTCAAGGGTTCATCCTCATCCATATATGATCATCCACTGAAGGATATGAAACTTCATTTCACCGACTTTACTTAGTGGCCATTATTAACAACATCAGACCCATAGAGCATCCATGGATTAACCTCCTTCGCCGCTCAATATATATATATATATATATATATATATATGATAGCAGCAGTGTGCTGGATCGATCGGTTGCTGTTGGAGAGCACTAATTAACTGTAAATGCGAATATTGATCAATCAATCGAGAAGTCTCTTCTTCACAGCAATCCGTCCTTTTATCCCATGTGGGTATGTGGAGGCTGTTTGTTTGGAGGTGAGAAGCCACTGAAAAGCACATGCTGATGCCGGTTGTTTTTTCACGTGAAAGCCCGGATCGATCCATTGATCGGCTATCCTAGGCCGTATGCTAATTACCGTAATTTTACCCGGGGGATACTGGGGATACTGGGGATACTGGGGATACTCTTCTCAACGACGACGAGGAGGAACTGGCGCAAGGACTCAGTCAGAACTGCTCGCAGGACACTCCCTTGCCAACTGGACAATGGGCGGGGCACTGTACCACTGCTCGATGATGATGAGCTCAGGAGCAACGGGGTGCATAACCCAGCTCCATTTGGCCGAAGGGTGAAGTTCTCCATAACAGATAGAACCCTGGGCTCGCCGGGACCGGGACGAAAACGCTCTTTTGTCTCGGGACCAGCGCCCGCCCACTTTTTGCCTCGGAGCAGGACCCCTCCTGGCCTCAGCGCCGACTCACGATCGAACAAGGAATCAAGTCCTTCGCGTTGTTTCGTTGATAAACGGCTGCCACCTTCAGTCTTTCTTCTTTGCTTTGCTCTACCTTAGCTCGCTGCTCGCTGCTCGCTGCCACGGAATCGCTGCCACGGAATCGCTGCCACCGCAAGGCTAATGACTACCTGGAGACTGAACGCTTCTGATATTCATCCCGGGGGACCATCGCCAAGACCTTGCCTTTGGGGGCAGCCATTTTGGGTGCGCTGCCATTGGCTGCGTCCTTCCCGTGACGTCGGAGGTGAAACCGATTTTAAATACTGAGGAACTCCCCCGCCAACACGGATTTTTATTTTTATTTTTATTTTTATTTTTATGTGGCTTTAATGCATACAATTCTTGCTGGTTTTTGAAATTCTAAATCTGCTTGATAAGATTAACATCCCATCATGGCTTCAATTGAGCAGGAAGAGCAGCAATACCTGGCTGATGTCCAGGCCGTCAAAACATGGTGGCGGGATTCGAGATGGCGTTACACCACAAGGCCGTTCACTGCCGAACAAATTGTGGCTAAGAGGGGGAATTTGAAGATTGAATATCCGTCAAATGTTCAGAGCAAAAAGCTATGGAAACTCCTGGAGGAACACTTCGCGGTATGTTGATTGTTTTTATTTATTTTTATTTATTTTTTCCACTCCAATGCTTTGATCCGAGTGGGAATGCTCATCCAGTTGGCAATCGCCTCATAGAACAAAACGGCCAGTTTCACCTACGGTTGTTTGGAACCTACAATGCTTACCCAGATGGTGAAATACCTCGACACTGTCTACGTCTCCGGCTGGCAGAGTTCTTCCACCGCGTCGTCGACCGATGAACCTTCCCCCGATCTTGCCGATTACCCAATGGTGAGCTGCCACTGACCACGAAAATTTGAAACAAACTTTTCCCGCTTCAACGCTCGGCTAACATATTCC